GAACGGAGAAGTGGTGCCTCGATGCGCACCCGGGATCCGAACCCGGGCCACCAGCATCGCAGCGCGCGCACTTAACCACCAAGCCACAGGGCCGGCCCACAAAATACATTCTTAATCACAGTCAACTTAAAGTTAATATTGTACCATTTCATATGAGATGGAAAAATCTTGCAACAGAATAGTTTCATTTTCCAAATCCTATCCTTTGTGTTATTGGTATGTGTATTATATCTAAATACATTCTAAATCCCACAACTCAGCTTGAACCTTTTGAGGCATGTTTTTAGGATATTTAGTTTTTACTTTATTTTATTTTTTTGCTGAGGAAGATTGGCCCTGAGCTAACATCTGTGCTAATCTTCCTCTATTTTGTACGTGCGTTGGGGCTGATGAGTGGTGTAGGTCTGCACCCGGGATCTGAACCTGTGAACCCGGGCTGCCAAAGTGGAGCACACCAAAATTAACTACTACGCCATGGGGCAGCCCCTTTAGGATATTTTGGAGAGGATCTACAGGAACCCTTACTCTAGGGCTGAAGTGGCCTACTCTTAAGGCATGACCTTTCTAAGGTGTCTGTTCTCAGTGGGGTATTGGGTGAGGACTCTCCTCCACTCAGGCTGGTCAAAATACCTCTGTTTCCCAGAACTGTGCAAGCATCCATTCAGTTCATGTAAGCCCAGGACTGATCTCTGCTTGGCCTTGCAGTGTCACACTCTAAGCCTGCACAGCCTAGGATTTGGCCAAAGGCCTAAAGCAATGCCTATGGTGATTCGTGGAAGTCCACCTCTACAAAGCTCCTTTGCTCCAGTACCATGCCTGCTAGGAGGAAGTCCGGAAATATGATCTCTCCTCCCCAGCTCAACTATGTTGCTATTCTCTGCCTGGGCTCCACTTCCCTATGAGGGGGTCCTGAAACGGACTCAGGCAGAGTAAAAGGTACATTGCAGGCTCACTGCATGCTTCCCTTGTCTCTGCCGTCATACTCCATTCAGCAAAGTGTAGGACACTGAGTAGCCCTGATAAACATCTGTAGAATGACACCAGCTTTGGTCTCAGGGCCAAAAAAAAAAAAAGCCGGAATTGACAGATGAAAACAAGAATGACTGTGTTTGCTTAAATGTACAACCAATCTTTCCTTGCCTTTTGTTACACTTCTGAAGAATATTGGTTAAGTATTTTGTAGGATGCCCTTCAATGTGGATTTCTCTGGTGTTTTCTCATGATTACACAGGGATTATGGGGTTTGGAGGATGAATACTATGGAAGTGAAATGTCCCTGCATCACATCAGGGGATACATGACAGCAAAGTTACCATTTTTCACTTCCCATGCTCTTGTCATTAGAAGCAAGTCACTCAGTCCAGCTCATGTTCAAGAAGAGAAGGAGAATTAAGCTCCAACTCTTGGAGGGAGGAGAACCAAATATTTAATAAATATTTTGGAGGCGATACTTTAAGGCTGTGCAACTATCATGCTCATCTTAAAGCTTTGCCCACTAATTTAAATTTTTTTATTTTTTATTTATTTTATTTTTTCCCCCAAAGCCCCATTAGATAGTTGTATGTCATAGCTGCACATCCTTCTAGTTGCTGTATGTGGGATGCGGCCTCAGCATGGCTGGACAAGCGGTGCCTCGGTGCGCGCCTGGGATCCGAACCCAGGCCGCCAGCAGCGGAGCATGTGCACTTAACCGCTAAGCCACAGGGCCGGCCCATGCCCACTAATTTTAGCATTTAGTGGATCAGGTCTGTAGCAATTATTACTGTGGTATTCTAATGGAATTTTCTATTTCCGTCATTTCCTCTATATTTATTATTTGTAAGTTCTGTGTAAGGAAGTGTTATCCTATCTCCAGCATTTATTTATTTATTCAAGTATATCACTTTTTATATAAGTATGGAATCGATATTTGTTTTATTTTTAGACTATGAACCAATACTATTCTTATCTTTTTGTTGCTCAAATTGTTCCAGCTTTGGCCATTGGGAGCTCTTTCAGGTTGGCTCCTGTATCCTTATGACGTGTTCCCATCTTTTATTTTTTTTTAGGTACTTACTTTCTGGCACAACACGATGCTCCAAGCTCCTCTTGTTTCCCTACCCTGGCCTTAAAATGAGCCATTTCTCCAAGGAGCCCTGGTTCCTTTTATTGGAGAATGGCATTTAGAAACCAAGATCTGGGTACTAGGTGTGCTCATTGCTTCTGAAATAGCACAACGTCTAGGCTCTCTCAGTGGACTGAGAAACTGTCACAGGAGACCAAGAAGATACGACAGCTAAATTCAATGAGGTGTCTGTGTAAGGGAGCTTCTAAGATGGCCCCCAGTGGTCCTTATCTACTGATATTCATGGTCTTGTGTAATTCTCTCCCTTGAGTAATTGATTCTAACCAACAGAATGCCTGGACATTGAGAGCATGTCACTTCCATGATTAGATTACAAGAGATTGTAACTTCTGTTTTGCTAGCAGACTCTCTTGCTGGCTTTGATGAAGCAAACTACCATGCTGTGAGCTGCCTCATGGAAGGACAGGCACACATGGAAAGGACTGAGGGCACCTCTGGCTGACAGCCAGAGAGGAACTGAGGCCGTCAGTTCAACAGGCTGCAGAGAACTGAATTCAGTTCAAAACCACTTGAGTGCAGAGCAGATTCTTTCCCAGTCCTGCTTTCAGATGAGTCCTCAATCTCACCCGACACCTTCCCTGATTGCACCCTCGTGAGAGCCACTGGAGCAGAGGACCCAGCTAAGCCAGCCTGGATTCCTGACCCACAAAAACTGGGAGATAATGAAAGCACATTTTTTTACCCACTAAGATTGTGGTAATTTGTTACACAGAAAGAGGTAACAAGTACAGTATCCTTACTTGAATTCTAGAACAAGAGAAAGACATTCATGGAAAAACCAGTGAAATCCAAATAAAGTCTGCAGTTGAGTTCCTAGTACTGTGCCAAAGTTATTTTCTTAGCATTGATAAAAGTGCCATGGTTATGTAAGATGTTAACATTATGGGGAGCAGGGTGGCAACTCTAATGTCTTTGCAACTCTTCTGTAAATCTAAAATTATTTCAGAATACAAACTAAAAAAAAACACTTCTGGGTTTTACATGTTATGTTTATAAAATAAAGATGAGAATATAGAAAATTTGAGGAGAAAAAATAAAGAAAAGGTATCAGGGAGCCACCAATCTGGTGCTAGACTCAGCAGGCAGGCCTCAGATAGGCTAGAAAGGAGTAGCAAGTGTAGTGTTCACAGTCTGTTGCGGGAGACACAGGACCCGACCTGATGCCTGTCCTGTCCCAGGAGTCCGAGTCTGGTTGAGGAATTCCTGGACTAATATTTTTTCCCAGCCTTCAACAAAGAAGATACTTGTGTCTTTCCCCTCCATTTAAATTCCCCCCAGATGTCAACATCTGTTCCAAAATTGAATTGCCTGCTTGTTCCTCTACCTTTATGGCTTTTGTCTTTGCCCTTTCCGGCGTCTGGAACACCTCTCCTCTCTGCTGGGAGATATCCTCAAACACTTCCTTAGCACTTCCAAAAGTGAACTTGCAAGAATATCTTCTTTGCCTCCTCTGCCTTCAGTGCCATTTTTCAAACCATAGCCCTCACTCACCTAACTTGACCATTTAGCTCTTTACCCACTTACTAGCTGTACATCTCAGATAGTTAAATTCTATTCCTCAGCTTCTTCAAACAGGAAATGGGAATAGGAATCAGCACTTTCTTGACGAATATTCCTGAGAATAAATGAGGTGAAACACTTGCAGCAGTTAGGAGGGTGCTGGCGGGCAGGTAAGAACCGATGGTTTTTGTGTGCAGGTTGTTTTCCTCCAGCCTCTCTAATTCTTTTATGGATCCCTCTTCAATCTGTTTCTTCCGAGAACCATTCTTCCTCCTGGCCTGCGTGGAGGCTCACTGCACAGTCAAAAGCAAGGACAGGAGACTCTTTGCCAAAGTTAAAAGCGCATCAAACACGCCTAGCATTTATTATTTTAATCACAAACCTACAGACCTCTCAGTACACCCTCCTTGGGGCTTGGCCCCAACAATCCAAAGCTGACAACCTTGGGTATACGTGGTAGGAGGGGTGGGGATGGGCAGGGAATGTCTCTTGATAACTCTGAAATGGGGAAGATTCCTCCAAATGGAGAACTGGGTGGAGGCTGGAGGTTGGGGGTGACTTAGCTGGAGTAGGACATCAATAAAAAATCAGATTAACAAAAGAGGAGGGACATATGCTGTTGCAACCCTCCCTCCAAGCCTCTGCCTTGGTGGGACAGGCTTCCACTTTTCCCTGGGCCTTTCCCGGAAAGGCCCTTTCCTTCATCCTGTTCCTCTACATGATGAAGAGTACTGCGGTGCTGGTTCTGGGAACCTGGACTCAGTACCCCCTAATCCCCATCACCTCCCTAAGCTGCCCTTCAAGGAAGGAGGCAGGACTCCGCCCAAGGGTGGGAGTCTCTCACTCCTGATCTAGGTCTGGAATGTCAACCCACAAGATTTCAAGATCTGACCCTTCTCCAAGGGCAAGGTTGGCTCAGAGTCCTCCTGGGTTAGGTCCCGTTGGTCCCAGGTTAAGGCAGGGGAGCTTACATAGCACTCCTCCCTGCAGTGTGGAATGCTTGGATGGCATGGGATGTTGCTAAGGGACAAGGATGTGATCTCCGCTCCGTGGCCTGATCTTACTGACTCCTCCACACCTGAAATACCTGCACTGGGCTGTTCCTATCGGGAAGGGGCAGGGATTAAACCCCCAGGGTGGGACTTCCATCATTTTGACTCCTCTTCCTTGCCAGGATGGACTAGACTGATGGTTCCAAGAGAGGGGATGGAGCAGTATCCTGACACCTCCTGATCCCAGGAGACCTGGCTAGGACAGTCGCTAGAGGACACGGGCTGACTTCATCCCGTCACCTGGGCAAGGGTGGGTCCCATGGGGCAGGCACGAGGCTGTGATCTCCAGTGGACAGGCCCTGATGTCACTGCCTTCTCCATGGCTGAAATACCTGCACCAGCAGGTCCTGTGGGGAAGGGGCAGGGCCTCATCTGACTCCTCCTCCTTGCCTGGTTACCGGGGTGGGGCCTCATCACATCTCTTCCCCCAGAACACCTGGGCAGGGCAGTCTCATGGGCGGGTGGGGGAAAAGGCAGGGCCTCATCCTGACTTGTCCTCCTTTCCTGGGTGGGGAAGTCCCAGGGGAGGGGTGAGGCCTGATCAGGACTCTTCTTCCATGCTGAAGCTACTGCGGCGACTACTGGCCTTGGAGACAGCAGGGGATACCGAAGAGAGCAGGGGGTCAGAGGCAGCCCGCAGTGGGGACAGGGCACCCCCTGACAGTCCTCCCACCACCCCTTCCTCCTCCTCCATCAGAATGTCCTCCAGCCCAAGGTGGAAGGGGTCCCCCAAATCCCCCAGGTGGTCGCTGGGAAAGTGCAGGTCCAGAAGGGCATCTGAGGGTGGTGCTGGGGGCTGCTGATGGGGAGCACTCTGGGCAGGTCCCCCCCCTGCATGAAACGTTGCCGCGCCTGGCCTGCCCTCCTCCTCAACGTCCAGCTGCTCTGGCTTGAGGCTGTCAGAGGCTGAAGTTGTGGCCAGGGAGAGCAGCCCTGGGGTGGGAGGTACCGGCAGACCATGGATCTGAGCCTGCAGTTCTAGCTCCTGCAAAAACGTAGGGGGACGGGGTGGGATAAAATGGGGTTCAGAGGCAGAGGAGCGTTAACAGTGAAAAGAGCAGGCTGGCTGGGTTCAAATTCAGCCTTTGCCACTCACTGGTTGCATAATTTTAGGCAAGTTGCTTAACGTCTATGAGCCTCAGAGTCCCAATCTGTAAAATGGGTATAATAATGGTCCCAGAGGGTTGTTGTGAGGGTTAACTTAGTAGATAGACATAAGGTTCTTGTCACAGTGCACGGCACAAAATAAACGCTATGCACATTAGCTAACATTATTCTTGCTATTGTTATGATTACTACTTATCATCATCATCACGTGAGTCGGGAAGCCTGGCGATCCCCCAAATATGCCAGGAAGGGAAATCTTGGCCTGTTCTTCCCTTGCCTCTGCCTGCAGGAAGCCCCCCTCACCCCCATCACTGCCTCCTCCTTCCTGACCTGAATTCGGAGCTGCAGGCTGCGGTTGGCTTGCTCCAGGGATCGCTGCCGGCTCTCCAGGTCTTTGGAGCGCTGTTGCTCCTTCTGCAACTTGCGGATGTAATCCACAGAGGCTTTCAGGATGGTGCCCTTGTTCCAGCGCATCTCCCTGGGGGCCCGAGGGGGAGGACAGAAGGGAGTGCTGCATATGCAGTCTTGGGAGCCGAGCGGGGGGATTGCGCCAGGTAGACGGAGCATCCACCACCTGCCTACAACTGGAGGTGGGGCTACATCAAGGGTATGGAATGCTCAGATGAAGACCCCCTGCCTGGAACCTTCCAACGGTGCCTCATCACACCCTGAACCCAGGAAGCCCTCTCTGACCCAATCCCTTACTGCTCCTCACCCATGTCCCTCTGATTCGTCTCACTATAGCTACAGTGGCTTCTCAATGCTCCTAGAACATGGAAAACCATTCCCACCTCAGGGCCTCCAGCCTGGCTGTGCCCTCTGCCTTGAATACTCTTCCCCCAGACACCCAGATGGCTCCTGCCTCACCTCCTCAGGCTCTTTACTCAAATGTTTCCTTGTCAGTGGAGCCTGCCCTGTCCTCACCATGCTCACCCCAAATTGTAACCCTCCCCAGCATTCCCCCATCTTCCTTCCATATTTTTTTTCTTTTTTTTTTGTAAGGAAGATCAGCTCTGAGCTAACATCCATGCCAGTCACTCCTCTTTTTGCTGAAGGAGACTGGCCCTGAGCTAACATCGGTGCCCATCTTCCTCCACTTTATATGGGACGCCACCACAGCATGGCCTGACAAGCGGTGCATCGGTGCGCCCTGGATCCGAACCTGCGCCGTCAGCATCGGAGTGCACGCACTTAACCACTACACCACGGGGCTGGCCCCTTCCTTCCATTCTTTATTCTTCTCCACAACACTCATCATAATCGTCCGGATTTTACTTGTTTATCCTGTTTGCTGTCTGCCTGCTTCCACTAGAACATCAGTTCCACGAGCTTGGGGATTTTTGTTTTGTTCCCTCTGGTATCCTCAGGCCTAGCACAGTACCTGACACAAAGCCAAAGCTCGATATATTTATCGAATAAATAAAGGAAGTGCCAAATGAATAGGGAATTAAGTGCCTATGTCCTATAGGTACCAGACAAGGCACGTGGACCATAACGTCACGCACATACAGTTTTAGGTGAGGACTCCGTGAGGGGTTGCAACCCTGCTCAGGATGAGGAAAGCTGAGTGGGAAACGGTCAGAGGAGCAGAACTGCCCGGCAGTTCCCACCCAGGAATGACTTTAGGGGAGTGGGGACCCCGCCCCACCTTCCGAGCTCCCAGCCCAGACTCACGGGTCACTGGACTTAGGGATGAGGGTGCCCAGCTCCTTGATCCTGTCGTTAATGTTGAATCGCCTGCGACGCTCAACTTTGGAGGCAAAGGAGAGAAAGAAAGAGTGGGAGAGTCATCAATTGGCTGAGGAGGGAAGAGGAGAAACTGTAGAGTTGGGAGGTTGTTGCAGAGAGAGGCCCCCCAAGGAAGGCCGGGGCACACAGCACGTTGGCAAGAGCACGTGCTCCCACTCACTTAGGTTGTGATTGTCTTTCTTCTGTCGCTCCTTCAAAAGGGCCTTGGCCTCCGTCTCTGGAAGAGAGTGCGGGTGGTCAGGGCCTTTGGGCACAGGAAAGACGCAGGGCCGCATGTGTGGCTGCTGAGGTAGGCTTCAGTGGGCGCAGGCAGGGTAAGTGACTTTTAAAAAAAGCACCACTCTGTACTATTTTTTAAGAAGTCATGGTGACAGGCCATTTGTTAAGCTCCAGATGAGAGGAAGTAGAGTGAAAGCAGGACCATGGGCCATATGGAAAAAAGAGGGCAAATGCCCCCAGTTTCTGTCTGCTTAAACCCCTTTCCCCAGAATCAGGCCCACCCCCAGACCTGGGAGACGGGGGCTCAGCCTGGGTATAGGACAAGTGCACGGGGCCACGAGCCTGGCCCTTACCAGAGATCTCGCGTTTGATGTTGGGCAGCTCGGCTGGGCAGGAGTTGCTGACGGTGATGGCCGGCGTGGCCACACTCTGACTACTGTACACATCAAGCAGATTCCCTGACACAGGCAGCTGGGGGCAGGGAGGGCAGAGAAACGACGGTTGGGAACAGAACCCAGGCTCAGCTCCTTCTCGGCATCAGGCTCCCGACCCTCCACACACCCCAGAGATGGACCCCTAATGCAAGGATTGGCTGATACAGCGTAGGAACCCTTCCTTCTCCTTCAACGGAATTTCACACGGCAACTCCACAGGGAGGACAAGGTCAAGTGGACCTACCCTGCTTTACCAGGGAACTGGAGCTTGCCTGGCCTGTTCATCACGCCCCTGCAGCCCCTCAAATCCCTCAGTGACCTCTGAAGCCCCTCTCCCACACCCGGGAGCTGGCTCTGAGAAGAGATGCTGGAAAATCACCCTTCTCAGGTCTTTGTCCGCTCCAACGCAAAATTTCAGTCCGTTAGCCCCTCCTAGCACGACATTCCAATTTAGCATTCTTGGAATACTCCAACCCCACCTTCTCAGACTTTGGGAAATTATCATAGCAAATTTCCATCCAAAATCTGGCCTTCTGGAGTGTTCCAGCCCAATCTCCACTCTTTTGTTGTGATTGCGTTGCACCACATTACATATAAGGTCTCCGGCTGCCATGTACCAAACTCCTGATTCTAGTATCTTCTTGCACACTCTGATCTCTCAGAATTTCTTGACCAACTACTCAACTAGCACTGCTTTTATGTCAGCCTAGATTTTTTTTTTCTCCTTCATATTCTCCTGGGTATACTCTAACATATCAACACACTAATCCATAAGTAATTAGTCCCACCTCTTGGTGAATTTTCATCTCTTGAAACTCCCACCAGTCTGCTGGATCCATCTAATATAAGGTCCCAATCTCTAGCTGTGTCCAAATCTAGCTGGTACCATTTTTATACATGCTTCTATCCTCTTGATAAGTTGGAAAGAAGCAAAGCTACAGCCACTTGGTATGTCCCAAAGCAAGTTAGGGGACTGTTGGAATGTTCCAGAACCAGAATGTTACAATTTATTGGTACATCCTCTGCTCTAGAAAGTTTTATCCACTCTCTACAAGGACCTAGCCTCTTGGCACAGTTCGCTGCAAGAGACATTTGCATTCCATTTGCTTCAAAGTCTAACTACACCATGTTTTGAGACTTTTGGTATGTTTTGATCACTTCATGGTCTGGGTACGTCCCAAGGACCTGAATCTTTTGGTACAGTCAAAATGCTATAAGAGTCCCACCTCTTGGTCCCTCCCACAGTGAAGCTCAAGCACCTTGGTTTGCTCTAATATCTCCATGAAGTCCCCGCCCTATATATATGAAAACCTACAAGGTCCACCTCTCCATGCAGTTCAATACAATGCCCCGGGGCACTGCTATGCCCCATTCTCATCATACAGCCTCCCTCTCTATCTGACTACAATCCAGGGCGAGGGTCTCTTAGATACACAGCCAGCAACGGTGTAGTCTCAGTGATAGAGGGATGTGCTCATTTTCAGAGCACCCTCCCCTCTCAGGGCCACACCGTGCTGGGGAGCTGCAGGCCTGCCGTGCCTCCGGGCAGATAGCTGAGCATCTCATCGTTGTAACTGGACTCCAGGCTGATGATCTCATCAATGACATCATCAATCTGGGGGAAGAAGGAAATATGGAAGAGGGTTAGAAGAAGTTGGAGGTGGGGAGCAGGGGAGGGTTGTCTGCAGCCACTTACCTCCTTCTCTGAGCTGGACCCGATGGTGAGCAGTGCCATGGGGCTGTTAGGAGCACTGCCTGTGGGGCCAGTAGTGTGGGCAGCCTCGGGGGCGGGGAGTGGCTGGGCACTGGCAGCCCCCGGTGGTGGGGTGAGGGCCTGAGAAGCCAGCTTGGGCCCAAGGGTGGTGGACAGGTACTGTTTCACCTGCTGCCGGCGTGCCTGCTGCAGGTGGTAGCGCGTCGGGTTCTCCAGATGGGTTTGCACCTGTGGGATAAGGGGGAGGAGGGCAGAAGGGACAAGGGAGAAGAGGGCTCAGAGGGCTGACTCAGAGCCTCAGAAGTCACCTGTTCCTAGGCTCAGGCCGGCAAACTGGGCCCAGAATCTGAGAACCCCTCCCAGAATACTGGTAAGTCTCTCTCAGGCCCCAAACTCCCTTTCTCAGAAAGCCCTCACAGCCCCCAAGATCCACCCCTGGCTGACAGAATCCCTTACAGTTTCTGGGTGAGCACCCAGTCACAGTCCCCAAGACTCCCCTCTAGTCTCTGACACCACCTAACAGACCTGGGAACTACACATGGGTTCCCAAGACACTCCAATGGCCAAAGAACTCCCAGTGCATCACACGTGCCTGAAGCTCGTCCTACAAAGCCACTTCACAGACCCCAGGCCCACTCGGGGCACTCACGACCCTCCATGGTCCACCAAGACATCCTACAGCCCCAAGAACCGCTCATAACTCCACAAGAATACCTTGGAAACCCTAAATACAATGGGACACTAGCACAGCCTATTTTAATACTACCTGGGACCTGCCTTACATCCCCTAGGACCTCGCCCAAAAGCCACCAGGACCACTCCTCAGTCGCTAGTAGCCCCCTCCCAGGGCCTCTGCATGTTACTTTACCTTGAGCACCTCCCTGGGCACCTGAGCAGGGGGAGGACGGCCCAATGTGTGGCCCCCAGCAGAGACGCCGACCACAGAGATGGCAGGAGAGGCAGGTGCAGGACTGGGGAAGGAAGAGGCTGCAGCCTGTTCCCGACGCTCACGCCTCTCCTGCTCCTGGGCCTGGGCCCGCATTAGCTGCTGCCGCAGCAAGACCCGCGATGAGGAAGATGACGACATGGCAGGGGTCCTGGAGCCCCCTGCAGAAGATGATGCAGAGAGTGTAGCTGGGGTGGCTGGTGTGGCCTGCAGTGATATTGGGAGGCTGTGGAATGGGAAATATGGGGCCACAGGTAAGCTACAAGTCTCATCCCAAGCCTAAGGAGTCATAGCGTGATGCAGTCATCACAGGAGCCAGGCCTGCTCTCTGCCTTCAGAGGCCACAATGGGGAGGGGAGACACAGGCACCAGACCTGGTTGCCGCCCTCAGGGGTCACAGTCTGATGGAGGAGACACTGGAACCAGACCGAGCCCCAGCTCTCAGAGGTCAGTCTGGTGGGGGAATTTTAGCCCTCAGTCCTTATGATGAAGCCTGGATTTGCGCCTGTTCATATATGGAGTGGAGACGCCATTGCATGGCTCTGGGAGAAGGGGTTTATCCTATTTAAAGGAGAGCGAGAGGCAGCAGAATAGAGGCTATGGCGGTAGATGCAGCTACAGAGGGCTCTTAAGCTCAATTTGGGGCTGGAGATGCTCCCTGAGCTCCTCGAGGTAGGCATCAAGTTATAAGGGCAACCGCAGGCCCTTCTTCCTCCCCTGCCTGGGCCTCTAGTTCCAGGAGCTAGTCAGTCTTGAAAATCTCAGAGATTTCACAATCCTCTCTTCCTGCCCCTCTTCCAGGTCCCCTCCCCTCTCTTAGAGCCCAGGCCGATGACTCAGCACATTTAGACTTCCAAGCTTGGGGAAAGGATACCAGCAGGGGTTCCTCAAAGGCTGGGGGTGGGTGAGTTTGTTGAGTGGGGGAGGGGGGTGAGCAGGGGTTGTGGGTATGGCTCCGCCCACCTGGGGGCTGAGCTTGAGCAGGCCACGCCCTGTCTCTGGGCACTCAGGGCAAGCTGCAATATTTGTGTACCGAATAGGTGCCCAGGTGGGGTTGGGGGAGGCAGGGGAGGTCACGTCCAAGGTACTGGAATCCTGGCTTGGCCACCTGCTTTCCTGTGTGACATGCTCTTTCTGGCCCCTAATTTTACTGTCTGGAAAATGCAAGCTGGTGAGAGAATGAGTTGGGTGGGCACTGAGGGCCTGTGGCCATCAAGAGGGGATGGAGGGGCCTGAGGAACCGGGAGCAGAGTCAGATAGAGGAGACATACCTTGAGCGTAGTGAGAGGGGTTGGCTTTTGAGTTCGTAGAAGCTGTCAGGATCAAGGATGTTTTCTAATTCAATGTCAGCAACAATCCCGGATTCCGGAAGCAAAGAGTTCAGGCTGGGGGCAAGGGGAGGTAGGGGTGGTGGTCAGTGATTGTATGGAGATTGTATGGAGACCTCACTCCTCTCCAACAGCCCGTGGGGGGAGGGGGGGGATCAGGAGAGAGGGGAAGAATGTATCCCTCACACTCGCCCACTCTGCTGGGTACCCTCACCATGAATCCCCACATCTTCTCCCCCCTCCTCACACCCCTCTCCCCTCCCCACTCTCTTTTGCTGTGTTATCCATAACCCCTTAAGATTCAAAATAATGAGTGCCTGGATCCCAATCCTTGCTCTAACAATCAGGTGTAACAACCTGGGTTTGAGGAAAATAGAAAGGACGAATTTAGGAATGACAATTCACTTTGCAGGATTCCTGACTTTGCATTCAACAGTTCTCCCAGCCCCCACACCCCCTACTGTTTTCCTGGCAGCTGAATGTGAGCCCACGTTTGTCCACACACACACACAGCACGGTAGGGGCACCCCTCAGCATAACAGTCCATTGTAACACAAACTGAATGCATCACAAAGAGAACTGGGGTCGATGATTCACTTTACAGAAGGATCCACCACTTCGCAAATGAGCCCCCTCCACAGCCAGAGTTCATGGGATGCCAACACATCCAGATACAAAACGGACACATCAAAGGCTCCCCTCGTTCCAACAATCGGGATTTCCAAGGAGAATTTGAGTGGATGATCCGCTTTATACAACATTCTTTTCTTGGCTGGAGGAACCTGTCCAACGCTCTCCTGTTTTTTTGGAGATCAAAACACACACATCTCCAGTACCAACACCCACAAACACATAAAATAAAAGCAATGTACACCCCTCCCTTTCAACTACTCCCACTACTGTGATCATCTAGGTTGTCATAAAGGCCTTAGAAGATGGTGAATCGATACATGGAAAGGCTGGTGTGAGACCCCAGTGTGTAGGGGACATTATCATGCAGGCAGATGGATGTGCATCCTTGAATTTAGTCAAAGATTCAGAATCCTGAGACTGTAGGTAACTTCACTTGACAAGAATTCTCTCCCCTCCCCAAGGATCTGTCTTCCTTCCTTTCCTCACCCTCCAATGGGGCCCTAAAACCACCCAGGAAGTAGGGAAGAGGAAGCTTGGGGGGTCGCTGAGCTCAGCACAATCCCAGGCAGAAAGTAGGCAAATCCCCCTCCCATGCTCACACACCCATTGCACAGAAGTTGGAAGAGATGGGTGCTGGGGTGGGCAGGGTGTGGACAGAGAGGGCTGGGGCTTCCAAGCCCGCTGATGGGAGCGAGGTTAAGAGGCCAGACAGGACCCACCCAGGCAGGGATGGTGCAATTGGTGCTCATTCCAGTTCTAGGGACAGATTCAAGATTCTCTCCAGGCCTGCGAGTCAAACTGGGGGGGGCGGGGAGAGAAAGAACGTGTGTGTGTCTGTATGTGTAAAGGGTGAGCAGGGTGGGCTGAGAGGCTAGGTAGGACAAGTGGCAGCAGAAACAAGACCCTCCCTTGGGTTCCCAAATAAGGTCTGAGGCCTTTTTCTCTGTGCACCATCTCCATCGCCTCTGTCTGCCCATCTTCCATTCAAGCCCCTGTGGGGGTGTGGGAAGAGGGCTTTTCCACTATCCCTGGGATCTGACCCAGCTGGGTGGGTGGGCAGGGGTGAAGGGATTATTCCGGTCAAGTCTTGAATGTTGCTTCTCTGGCTCACTCACACACACTCACAAGGCTGGTCCCACGCAGCATATCTGAGATACCCCCAAATCCCTCCAGATTCATGTTATCCCCAAACACAGCCTCCAGCAACCAGCCACTGGGAGTCATCAAGCTCCCAAGACAGCACCTCTGTCCCTCAGGACTCTGACACTGAGGGAAAAAGTCCCTTAAAATCAGTGCCTCATTTACAGTGCGCTCCCACAAATTCATCCCCCTCATGCCTGACTCAAGGACCCCAAATTCAGCCTCTAATCAGAGTCTCAGTCTCCCAAGTTCAGCTACCTTAGACCAGTTTCCGGACACAACAGTATCTGTGCCTCTAGACGCAGACAAGGACCCCCAAATCTGAACCAGGCCTCCCTTAATGCACTTCCACGACTCCTTTAAGCCTCAGTCCAAGCAGGCCACAGCCAGATTCCTTAGGCGCCCCCCCAAGACGGGAGCCCCGACGTCCTCCAAGCTAGGCCGAGGGCCTGCAATCCCAGTCCGGGGCCCCCGCTGTCCCCAGATCGGACCCCCAGGAATCCCAGTCAGCACTACCGGCCCCAGGCGGCCCCGCACCTGAGCAGCTGGGCCGAGTCGGCCGGCCTGCGCTCCTCCAACAGCACGAACACGGCTCGAGGGCCCTCCGCGCTGGCCTCTACGCCGTCCCGAGCTGGCTCGGCCGCATGAGACATGACGCCCGGCCCCGGGCGAGCCCTGCCAGGCCAGTCGGGCCTCGGCCCGGTCCCCCTAACAAAATAAGAGTCCCCCTCCCCCCGCTCGCCACCGCCTCCTCCGCTAAGCCATGGAGTGAGCTCTGCGCGGGCGGGCGGCGTCGGGGAGAAGGGATGGGCCGTGAGTCATCCCCCGCCCTGAACGGACCAACACCCCCCCGAACCTAACCCCGGACGACCGCCCTCCTCGCCCTCCTCCTCTTCCCCCTCCTCCCTGGGCTGGGGAAACTCCACAGGAAGTGACCGCACCGAGGATGGACGGCTCGCCGGGGCACGCCCCCTGAGTGAGACGGCCAATCGTCCAGGGATGGTTCAAGGGCCCGCCCCAAGCTACGCCTCCGACGCGGAGGGAAAACTAGATTCAGCCGGCCTCATTCCGTGCAGGAGGCGCCTAGGCCACGCCCTCAGAGACAGAGGCAAATCAGCGAAAGGCAATTCCATTGAGCCACGCCTCCTCCTCACAAATTTATCCCTCCGCAGGATATTAAGCCGCTCCTCGGGTCCTCTGCGCCTGCGCACCCATGGCCATTCGGCGCGCAGACGATCTTCAGACAACGCTTCTAGCTGCGGAACCGCGCCCCCTCCCGGCCAATATTCGCAATATCTGCTCCCTAGACCGCGCTCCAACCTCGAACTAGCCGTACCTCCTCAGCCAAAGCCATAACTATGAGGCCTAGGCAGCTACATTCCCTGGAAGTGCGCACCAGAAACCCCGCCTTTTCGGTACCCACAGTCCAGTTGCCCAGCTGGTCTTCCTGGGAGCGCTCCGCCTGCTCTATGTCATCTAGAGCAGTTGTTGCACTAGGTCGTTGTGCTGCACAGTAGGTGCTTAACAAATCCTTGAGAGATAGATGAATGAGTGGAAGGACAGAAATTAGATCTGGTTCCTTCAGTGAATGACTTCTGGAATCATAAGGACCCAGGTTTGGATATGGGCAAAGGACTTCTCTTCTCCAAACCTCAGCTTTCCTGGCCTGTCAAATGGGGGTCATAATACCTGTCTGGCAGGGTTGTTATGAGGTTTAGAGATAAGTTATGAAAAGTGCTAGCAGGTTATTTGGCATACAGTAAGCTCTCCAAAAAAGTAATTGATTCACTCATTTGTGCACTGATTCAATAAACATTTAAGGAGCTCCTCTGTGTGCCAGATACATGCAAGCCAGCTTGCACACAGCAGAGGGTCCCACTCATACCTTCAGGTGCACAGTCAGCTCACAAGACACCTGGACCTACACCCTTCTCTTCCTCCTTCCCAACATCCCAAGACCCTGCCCATCAGTTGGACCTCCAGGAACTTCACTGAGCTCCCATTTGCCTTGCACCTTCCTGTACTGGCACCCTTATTTCTCAAGTTGGCTTGGGAACATGCACATCCCCACAGGCTCACATAAAACCATTATCCATATAATAAAGATGACAATTCTTCCCCATATTAATCTTTAAAAAATCAGTACATTACTGGGCTGTCCCTGTGGCTTAGTGGTTAAGTGCACGCGCTCCGCTGCTGGCTGCCTGGGTTCGGATCCCGGGCACGCACGGACCCACTGCTTGTGCGGCCATGCTGAGGCCACGTCCCACATACAGCAACTAGAAGGATGTGCAGCTATGACATACAACTATCTACTGGGGCTTTGGGGGAGAAAAATAAATAAATAAATAAAATTTAAATATCGACCTAGATATTTGTGGGAATTAGTAAATGATAAGGGCCGGCCCTGTGGCTTGGTGGTTAAGTGCGCACGCTGCGATGCTGGAGGCCCGGGTTCTGATCCCGGGCGTGCATCGAGGCACCACTTCTCCATCCGTCCTGAGGCCGAGTCCCACATACAGCAACTAGAAGGATGTGCAGCTATGACATACAACTATCCACTGGGGCTTTGGGGGGAAAAAAATAAAAAATAAATAAATAAAAAAAATAAAAAAAATAAAAGTAAATGATAAAAATGATATTTCAAGTTACTAGGAGAGAGATGGACCATTTACTAAAATGGTTTGGGGAGAAATTACTATCTTTTTGGGGGAAGGATTAGATTCCTAATTTACTCAATTCAGAAAAATTAATTCCAGATTGGCTAAAGACCTAAACAAACAAACAACTATAAAAAATATCAGAACAAAATATTTTGGGGGAATATGTTTAAGATATTGGCAAAAAAAAGGGCCTTCTTAAACAAGATACAAAAAGCAAAAGATACAAAGAAAAGCAACAATATGCAACATTTATTGGTCATTCTTGGCACTTTATCTGCATTAACTCATTTTAATCCTCACAGCAGCCCTCTGAGGAGGGTTCCATTTATTAGCCCAACCCATAGATCAGGAAACCAAGGTACAGCAAGGTTAAGTCACTTGCCCTAGGTCACTCCAGTTTATAAAATCTGGGGTGGGAACCCAGGCACTCTTTACCACCATGCTCCACCATCTGTTGGGTTTGACCGATTCAAAATATAAAGCTATAATCTGATGAAAGATGCTAGAAACAAAGTTAAAAGACTTGCCACAGACTGGGCGAAAAAATTTACAGTGTTAGACCCACAGCTTAATTATCCCGTCACACACCCCATTCCTACAAACACTGGCCTCATACACACATCCCAAATATCTCCATGACAAGTGCTTCCCCATCACGTACCCTGCACAATATCCTCCATCTCTCTCAGTCTCTGTCTCTTAATCTCTTGCTCACAACTTCACAACTTTTTCAACACTACTCTCTCACTCTCTCTCTTGCAGCTGAGGCAACTGCAGGGTGGGGTGAACGGGAGACATGGAGGGAGGAGGAGAGAGGGCAGTTGGATAGTGAAGTTGAGGAGGTTTCGGGATAGATGTGAGTGGTGATTGAGCGTGGCTTGGAGTGAGGTTGAGGTCTATTACAGGACAGTTTGCATGAGACTAAAGGATCACATGAAGGTCTTCAGGAGGAATGGGGCTTCTAGAGAACAGGTTGGAAGTGCAGGTGGGAGCTATTGGAGAGTAAATTGGGAGTACAGTTAGGGGGTTGGAAGATGGTTTGGGGTGCAGTTGGAGTGACTATGGGAAGATAGTGAGTGTTTAGAGACAGAGTTTGGTCTTCTGTAAAATAATTTAAGGAGTAGAGCTATTAACTGTCATAAGATGGTGTGGTAGGCTGACTAATGGCTCCCCAAAAGATGTTTATGTCCTAATCCCTGGAACCTGTGGATGTTACTTTATATGGCAAAAAAAAACCCACAAAAAAACAAAAAAAAACAACAGGATTGCAGATGTGATTAAATTAAGGATTTTGAGATGAGGAGATTATCCTGGATTATCTGAATGGAACCTAATTGTAATCACAAATGTCCTTATAAGAGGAAGACAGAGGCAGATTTGACAGACAGGAAAGGGGAAGGCAATGCCACCACAGAGGCAGAGATTGTAGTGATGTGGCCACAAGCCAAGGAATGCCAGCAGCCACCAGAAGCTGGAAGAAGTAACAAACAGATTCTCCTCTAGAGTCTCCAGGGAGAGTACAGTCCTGCTGACAACTTGATTTTGACTCAGTGAAACTGGTTTTGGGCTTCTGGCTTCACAACTGTGAAAGAATAGATTTCTTATATTTTAAGCCACCAAATTTGTGGTAATTAGTTATAGCAGCCACAGGAAACTAATACAGATTTTGGTACCTAGATATGGGATGCTGCTGTGTCTTAGTTTGCTTGGGCTGCCCTAACAGAGTACCATAGACTGGGTGCATTAAATGACAGAAATTTTTTGTGTGTGGGTGAGGAAGATCAGCCCTGAGCTAACATCTGTGCTAATCCTCCTCTTTTTGCTGAGGAAGACCGGCTCTGAGCTAACATCTATTGCCAATCCTCCTCCTTTTTTTTCCCCCGAAGCCCCAGTAGATAGTTGTATGTCATAGTTGCACATCCTTCTAGTTGCTGTATGTGGGACGCGGCCTCAGCATGGCCAGAGAAGCGGTGCGTTGGTGCGCGCCCGGGATCCGAACCCGGGCCGCCAGTAGCGGAGCTCGCGCACTTAACCACTAAGCCACGGGGCCGGCCCGAAATGACAGAAATTTATTTTATTACAGTTCTATAGGCTAAAAGTCCAAGATCAACATGCCATCTGGGTTGGTTTCTGATGAGAGGTGCCTTCCTGACTTGCGGATGGCTGCTTCTTGCTGTGTCCTCACTTGGCCTTTCCTTTGTGCACATGCACTCCTGGCGTCTTTTCCTCTTTGTATAAGGACACCAGCCCTTATATGAAGGTGGCGCCCTTAGGCGCCACCCTTATGACCTCATTTAACCTTAATTACCTCCTTAAAGGTCCTATTTCCAAATACAGTCATATTGAGGGTTAGGGCTTCAACATATGAATTTGGAGGAGGGGATACAATTCAGGCTGTAACATATGGTAAGAAATACCTAAAAATGTTGAAGTGACTTTGGAATTGGATAGTGGGTAGAGGCTGGAAGAATTTTGAGGCACATGATAGAAAAAGCCTAGATTGCTTTGAACAGACTGTTGGTAGAAATATGAATGTTAAAAACACTGCTGGTGAAGGCTGAGAATGAAGTGAGGAGCACAGTAGAGCAAGCCTACATTGTCTTAGAGAATACATATATCATCATAAACAGAATTTTGGTGGAAATATAAATGTTAAAGGTGCTGCTGGTGATGACTCAGAAGGAAATGAGGAACATGTTATTGGAAACTGGAGAAAAGGTCCTTGTTATATAGAGGCAGAAAACTTAGCTGAATTGTGTCCTACAGTTGTGTGGAAATCAGAGCTTGTAAGTGATGGATTTGGATTTATTTAGTTGAGGAGATTTCCAAGGAAAGTTTTGAAGGTACTGCCTGGCTTCTTCTTGCTACTTATAGTAAAATGTGAAAGGAAAGAAAGAAATTGAGGAAGGAACTGTTAAGCAAAATGGATCCAGGATTTGATGATTTGGGAAATTCTCAGGCTGTCCAAATTGCAAAAGACACAAAATTTAAGAGATTCACTGTCAGGAAAGTATGCTCTGGAGAGAAAGCAAAGGGTGTGGCTGGACAGCCTTTAGTACTAAAGAGATTAGGTGTGTTACTCGTGGATCCTCTCAACCATCTCAGCAGAAGTCAGGACTAGAGGTGGGATTATCCACAAAAGATTTGTGGAGGATCCTCTTGTCTAATGGCGTGAATCCCTGTGAATTCCATGGGAGACCCACAAGGTTTCTGAGAATGTTATACGGCCATAAACACTGCGTGATTGGCTTGAAAGAAACGGAGACAGGATGAAATGAAAGAAGGATGTTGGACTCCCAAAATTCTACTGGAAGGATAGAGGCTAAAACTACTCAGTTCCAAATATGTGCTACCCTTCAAGAGGAAGAAAGGATAACTCTGAGGGCAGAGCTGCGGGCCCAAAGGTGTAGCCTCAAGCCACAGTGGATTATTCACAGGCCATGAAACCTAATGAAAACTGCCCTGCTGGATTTCAAAATTACTTGGAACCAGTGACACCTTTTTTCCTTCTATTTCCTTCCTTTTGGAATAGGAATGTCTATAACTCTTATCCTATGCCTGTCCCACCATTGTATTTTGGGAACAGACAACTTGTTTTCTAGTTCACAGGTCCAGAGATGGAGAAGAATTTTGCCTCAGGGTAGATTATACTTAGAGTCTCACTCATACCTGATTTAGATTATGTAGATGATGAGATTTGGAACTTTTGAGCTGATGCTATTAAAGTGAGATTTTGAACTTGAGTTGATGCTGTAATGGGTTGAATCTTTTTGGGGGTATTGGGATGCGGTACATGTGTTTTGCACGTGGGGTGGATGTGTATCTTTGGGGGCCAATGGGTGTACTGTTGTAGGCTGAATGATGCCCCTCCCAGATTGGGATATGCACATCTTAATTCCTAGAACCTGTGAGTGTACCTTAGATGGCAAAAAAAAAAAAAAAAAGAAGAAGAAGAAAAGAAAAAGAAAAAGGACTTTGCAGATGTGATTAAGGTAAGGATATTGAGATTATGCTGGATTATCCAGGGGACCCTAATTGTAATCACAAGTGCCCCTATAAGAGGGAGGCAGAGGCAGATTTGACAGACAGAAAAGAAGGCAATACGACCATGGAAGCAGAGATTGTAGTGATGTGGTCACAAGCCAAGCAATGCTGACAGCCACCAAAAGAGGAAGAGGCAACAGATTCTCCCCTAGAGCCTCTGGAGGGAGCACAGCCCTGCTGGCACCTTGATTTTGGTCTTCTGGCCCCCAGAACTGTGAGAGAATAAATTTGTTATGTTTTAGCCACCAAGTTTGTGTTAATTCATCAAGGAAGCCACAGGAAGCTAATACAGATGGCTTGGGGATAGATTTGGGGGTTGCTGGAGGGACTTAGGGGTATGCTTGGGGGTAATTGAGGACAGTTTGAGGATATAATTAGGGGCCATTGGAAAGTGTTTGGGAACAGCTGGAGTCATCAAAGGGAAGATTGAGGTGGGGTTGAGAGGTCACTGGAGGGTAGTTTGGAGGTATAGTTGGGAGACTGTGGGAAGATAAATGGGGGATGTTTACAAATAGCATTGGAGGCTATTATAGGGCAGTTTAGGGTGTAGGTGGGATTTCTTGGAGAGTGGTTTGGGTGGTATGGTTGGGAAAAATTGGAAGATGTTTTGTGGGTGTAGTTGCATGTAATTTAAGACAAAGTTGGGTATAATGGTCACTGAAGAGTGGTTTGGAGGTATAGTTTGGGGCTGCAGCTGTGGGACAAAAGGAAGGTAGTTAAGGGTTATTTAGATGCAGAGTTGGGGGCTCTTGGAAGGGGAATTTTAGGGGTGAGGTTTGTAATTGAGAGTAGTTGGGGTCTAGAGTTGGGTATCATTGAAAGGGCACTTTGGGGATATCGTTGGGAGTTAAAGGGGAGTTTGAGGGTAGAGTGGGGGCTGTTGGAAGGAGGTTTGGGGCTGAAGGTGAGGCTCCGGAAGGGTAGTTTAGTGATGAAGTTTGAGGATCAATAACATGGTTTTGGGCTATAGTTGAAGGCTGGGGGTTACAGTCTGGGATGCTCTTTGCGGGCCTGTTTTGAGGTCTGGATGTCAGAGGGCTATTATGAGCTATAGTTGGGGAGCTATTAGTGGGTGATTTGGGGGGCAAAGATCATTGGATGGAATACTATTCAGCAATAAAAGGAACCACTGATACATGCTACAACATGGCTGAACCTCAAAAACATTATGCTAAGTGAAAGAAGCCAAACACCAAAAATTCACATATTGCATTCATATGAAATGTCCAGAAAAGGCAAATCTCTAGAGCCAGAAAGGTTACTGGTTGCCTGGGACTGGGAATGAGAATGTGGATTAACTGTATTCAGGCATGAGGGATCTTATTGGGATGATGAAAATGCTCTAAAACTGCATTATGGTGATTGTTGCACACTTTGGTAAATTTACTAGAATAATTGAATTGCACACTTAAGATGGGTGACTTACAGTATGTAAATTATATCTCAACTAAGTTGTTTTAAGAAAAGATCATTGGAGAGTGCTTTGTAATATACTTGGGTCACTGAAGTATGATTTGGGGTGGAGGTAAGAGTCATTGGAGGGTTTGGGGAACACTTTGGGCCACTGGAGTATGATTTGTGCATTCAGTTGGTGGTTATTTGGAGGTAAAGCTGAGGACTGCTGGAGAGTGCTTTGGGGGTGGAGTTTGCATCCGTGGAGTGCGGTTTGGAGGTGGAGAGGGTGTTGGAGGTTAGTTTGAGGCACAGTTGGGGGTTCACACATTGAGTATATGGGATAGTGATAGGGACTGTTGGAAGGTAGTTTGCAGGGGTTGGGGCTGATCAATGGAAGGTTTGGTGGGGGGTTTGTGGAACATGGTTTGGAGGTAGAGCAGGTGACTGTTGGAATTGATTTGGGGTACAAGTGGGGGCCACGTCAAAGGTGGTTGAGTATGTTTGCGCCGGTGTTGAAGGCTATTGGCGAACCATTTGGGGATCAATAGAGTATGGTTAGGATAGTACATGGAGAGTGGTTTGGGGTCAATGAAGGGTGTTTTGGGTGCATATTGGGAATAGCAGGAGGGTGATTTGGAAGTGTTCTTTGAAGGTTAATGGTTTCAGGGCTGACTGCAGATGGTTTGGGGGAACTACTTAGGGGTAGTGGAGGGTAATTTATTCGTACAGGTTGGGTGTCCATGGAGGGTGGATTAGAGATACTGCTTGGGATCAATGGACAATAGTTTGAGGATACAATTTGGGGGATGATGGTGGTTTGGGGTGCATTTGGGGCATTGAGGGTAGTTGGGGGAGTTTAGAGGTGTGGTGGCAGCTGATTCAAGGCAGTTCGGGGTAGTGCTTGGGAGGTGACTTGGAATGAGGGGCGCCGGTCTGATCACTGAGGGGGCGTGGCCTCAGTAGGGGAGAGCTCCGCCGCCGTCTAGAAAGCGTGTGCGCACGCGTTCCCAGCTGGTTCACTCCTGGCGCTCCCAGGGCAGGAAAAATCGAAGACCCGAACTGGCGCCTGCGCACTTGGTCTCCGCCGCTGCTGTGGTCTCGCGCCCCGCCCCCCCGTCCCCCCTCACCCTCCACCCCAGGCTCGCGCTCAGCGGCGGAGGTGGCGGTGCCGCCGGGAGCGGACGGACCCGAGTTGAAGGTGGGGGCCGGGGTCCACCGCCCGCGGCCGAGCCGGCCCTCCTCTCCCACCCTCCCCGCGCCCCCCGTCTGGCCCCCAAGGCTAACAGTCGCGCGGCCCAACGCGGCCCACGGACAGGGCGGAGTAGGCGCGAGCCAGGGGACGAGCGGGAGGCAGCGAGGGAGGGGCGCGCCCATCACCCCTCCCGTTCCATACCGACCCCGCCTACACCGCGCGGCGAGGACCCTAGGTGAGTAACGCCCGCCTGGGGAAGAAGGGAGGAGACAGGGCGGGGTGAGGGCCCGGAAACGCCGGCGGGGGATGTACCTGCGCGCGCACCCGCGACCTCTGACCCCGTGGTCTCACTCGCGACCCCTGCCTGACCTGACTACCTCTTTTTTTAACCTTGAACCCCGGCGCCAGTCTTGGCCCCAGGACCTCCGGTCTCACCTGTGATCTAACCATATTCTGGACTGGTGTGATCCTCAACCCCTGTTTTGTCCTCCTAAACCCAGTCCTCACCCCAAACCCCATCCAGTTCTGTTCTCAGGATCCTTGGCCTGACTACAGATCTTTGCCTGATTCTGTTCCATCTCTGATGCTCATCTTGCCTTGTTCTTATCACCCCAGTTTCTCTCCCAGTACTTGACCTGTCTGTTCCCTAAACTCTTGTCCAGTCCCTGAACCCCTTCCAGTCGTGTCTTGCCCCCCTAATGCCAATCTGATCCAGGTCTGTCCTGATTCCTGACTTCTGACTTCTGTACTTTCATCCCACCCTGTGCTAACAACCCCCCCACCCCCACCCCCCTCCTGACTCCTGATCTCTATCCTGGCTCACCACCTTTAGACAGTCTCCCTGTCTCCTGCCCTGTCTCTGCCCCCAGCTCTGTGCTATTTCCCCCCTCTTCTCTTGTCCCATTGCTGTCCTCATTTCTATCCTCATTCTGTCCCTGACTTTTCCTGTTCCTTACCTCCATCCTGAACCTGCTCTTTTCCCTATCCCCTCCCTTGAACCCTGTCTTGGCCTATTCCTGGTCATGTCTTCTGACTACTGTTCTATGCTGGCCCTGACCCTTGCCCTGCTCTTTTGTCCTCTGCTGTCCCCTACTTTTTCTCTGACGCTTGTCCTGAACCTCATTTCATCCCATCCCCTGGGAAGTGTCCTGGCTCCTTCTCTGTCCTGCCTCTTGACCTCCATCCTACAATGACTCTGATTCTGTCTTGTCCCCTACACTCCTTCCTATCTTGTCCCTTCATCTCGTCCCAACCCCAGGGCCCTGTCCTACTCCTTTTTTTTTTTAATTTTTATTTATTTATTTTTCCCCAAAGCCCCAGTAGATAGTTGTATGTCATAGCTGCACATCCTTCTTAGTTGCTGTATGTGGGATGCCGCCTCAGCATGGCCGGAGAAGTGGTGCGTTGGTGTGCGCCCGGGATCCAAACCAGGGCCGCCAGCAGCGGAGCGCGCGCACTTAACCGCTAAGCCACAGGGCCAGCCCCCCTGTCCTACTCCTTACCATACTCCTCCACCCTGTTCAGCTCTCCCTCCTTCCCAACACCCACTTTGCATCTCCTTTGAGCCCAGAAGGATGGGGATCCCCTTATACCCTGCCTCTGAACTTGGAGGTTCCGCTGTTCCCATTATCTCTGAAGTTCATTTAAAATGCTTCTCTTAGCATGAGCAAGAGCAAGTAGCTCTGTGGGCCCTGTGTGGCTGAGGGAGTTTTCATGCGATTTCCCCCACCCCCACCCAGTGATCTCACGCAGAGCTTGCATTTCTCTCCCTGCCCCAGGAGGCCATAGAACTGTTCTTATGCCCCCCACCCTCCCTGAGTGTGGAAGAACACCCTAAATTATTCAGTGACTCTCTGGGAGTCCGTGAGGTCCAGGTCATGTTTCCACCCTTGCTAGGTTGGAGGCTGCCCCGTGTCAGGGAGGGGGCGTGGTGAGCAAATATGTGGAGGTAGGGGACTCGGGGGTATGTGTGAATCTTCTAGGTCCTCTTACCCCCATCTCCTGGTCTTGATCCTGGGTGCATGATCCCTGCTTTCTTGGCCTGGAAAAAAACCCATTCTAGGCTAGAAGCTTCAGGGCTTGGTAGGGGTGGGATGGGGGCAGGGGTTTATCCCCTCTCTCTCAGCAGTAAGCAAACAAATCTTGGT